CCAAGCGGGAAGCACGCTTCGCCGCGCATACAGCGAGATCCGCCACGGGTCTTGCACCTCGCCCGGCCTTCTGGAGAGGCCCGCTGCCCCGGCCCTTTTGTAGACACACCACCCGTCCGTTGCGAACTAACCAGCTCGCGGAAACTGATGCACGCCGGCGCCTCTGTCTACAACATCGCGGAATCCCCGAACTTCCGTCTGCGAAGTACGGAGGAATATTGCGTACAACAAAGGCGGGAAACAGATCGCGAAATTCCGTGAACAGAATGGTCGTCCGCGAACCCACGGACGGCAGTGCCTGGACGGATGGCAGCCCCATAAAGCGGTTCGCGGTCCGTCCGTCCATCCGCGAGTTCCGGAAAGGGCTGGGGTGGTGCCTCGTGCTGTGCACCAGTGCTCGCGCTCCTTGCAGGGCCCTGAGCTTCAAATCGTGAATGGTGTGCCTGGAGGCTAAACCCCACAGGCAGCGACTTGCAACGCCAACGGCGCCCGCCGGGCCAGCCGCGACCACGGCCATGGGTGTCGAGGTGCGGAACTGCGGAACTGCGGAACTGCGGAGGGGGGGCGCCAGTGCCACTTCCCACGACTTGGCCGCTCTCGCAGTGGGGGCGCACGGGGGGCGGGGCTCGCCCCTAGCTAGGGGCGAGCGGGTCCTGCCCGGCGCGGCCCGGCCCCGGTCCGGGGCCTCCATGCTGACGTTGGAAGGCAGCGACTAAATAACGTTTCCCACATCTGGGCAGGGCAGAGCTTCTTTTTGGATCCGAGCGAGCCGGTGCGCTGCAAAAAAAAGGCACGGTGGCCCCGGTGTTGGATGCATGTATCATCACCCCCTGCGCTCTTCAAAGCACGCAGCTGCCCTTCATTGCTCGAAATTCTCCAGTCTTGCGAGCCTAACGGCAGGATTCTTCCCTTTCTCAATATCAGGCTTGCCTTAGCATCTTACCACCAGATTTGAGCACGTTGCTCTTTGTATTTCTCCCATCGTCCAGTCGATACCTTTTCAATTACGCTCAATGTGTTTTTCGCTTTTCACCACTGAGTGGCCATCCATGTACACGGATCAGGGATTGAGATGTCAATCCCCGACGAGACTACAGTGCTGTGTCACCCAATTTGCCGCCATGTGCCGGTCACGTGCCATTCGTTCAGCGAAGTGACAACATGTCCAGGTAAAATTGACGAGAGAATCCTCCCAGAATCGACCAAGGTACTGGACTCTGGTTCCGCATTGACTCATTGAGTTGATGGCATCGAACAGATGAGTTGAATATCAACCTGCATCCGGCTTTATGTCATTGCCCTCATCTTCCCTCCTTGTGGGGCACATCCTCGTTCAAGTCTCGTGACGTGAACAATTCATTACATCGTACGAAATCAGGGTGTCCTTCACCATCACCCAACTCCGCCGAACAAGCCCTTGCCCGGCCCAATGTCAATTTGCCAAGTGGTCCGCAGGCGCGGCTGTGACACTAGACCCAAGCATGGGTCGCGAGCTCCGCATCAATATGCATATGTGGGCATTAAGAGTGCACTCTTCAAGTGGCACGCCACTCATGACGCACCAGTCAAAAACTCAATCAAGCAAGTTTATTCCCAGGAGTTGATCGCAGTGTCTTGGTACGAAGAGTGGTCGAGACAATGGGTTTCGCCGATGCCAAATTTGATTCTTCGAAAACAATAAAAGCTTACCCAGCGTCGGCAGCGATGCCTCTTAAAAAATCGATACCGCGACCAGCAAAAGAATTGAAACATGGTAATCGAAGCTCAAGTAATCAGGAGCACCGAACGTCCAAACGCAAAGGACAACAAAATTGCCACTTTGCATGTTCCCCAAATAAACTACAGCATTTTCATACAGTGCGGATGCTACCGAGGTCTGCATGATCGCCTCCTCCTACTGGAACATGGGTTCAACGGTGTTCTCGTACACAGGCATGCCATTCACGTCCTTGACGGATATCTTCAGCGACCCAGATTCGCTGATCTCGAGCACACCATAATTCATCCACTTGAGCACTTCGTCGTAGCCCAGCTCCACCGAGGCATCAAAGCTCTCAGGCCCGAAGGGCCCGAAACGGCGCTGCACGCCGCCCAGCGTCATGTCAAATTCCTCTGTTGCAGACAATGGCACAGGAAAAGGTCAGAACCACGCGCCCATCATGCAGCATGATACCACAAAGCCGTCCATAGGTTTCTGAGTATTATTGCAGCTATGCCTGGAGTTTTTGCTGAGCAAACCATGGACACTGCTTTCCCAGGGGGGAGCAGGGGCCTGACGGCCACCCCCTTGCCTTGAAAACGAGAAAAACAAATGATACTGCTTTGACGCCCAATTGACGTCTCAAAAGCAAAAGTCTGAATGCCTCCACTCATTCAATCATTCCATCAACTAGTCAATCCATTCATATACCCCAATAGCTCGAAACAACCGCTACTCACGCTTGGGGAACAGTCCCGCGTTGAGTGGGCCGACGACGCCCTCCCAGAAGTTGGGCGCCCATTCTGGATACTCGAACACCTCGGCAAAATGCACATCGGCCGTGATCCACACGGTGTTCTTCACCCCCGCGGCCTTGAACGCGTCGATGATCTCCAGGAGCTCCTGCTCGAAGCCTCCCATGGTGGCGGTGTTAGGCCCGTCCGACGACGCGTCGCCGTTGGTCCAGCCGTCGCGGCCAGTCCTGATGCTGCCCGTGGGGATGGACAGGGGCACGCTGCTCTGGACAATGATCCACGTGGCGTCCGACTCGGCGATCGCGTTCTTCAACCAAAGCTTCTGCTCAATGCCGAGCAGGGTCTTGTTGAAGTAGGTGGTGTCGTTGAGAAGGTTGGCGTCGCGGTACAGGCGGGTGTCGAGGCGGAAGATCTCAACGTGCTGCGATGGGGGTGCAAGTCGTATGCGTCAGTGTTTGTCGCTCAGCGCCCTCTCTAGCTCTCAACTATATACGCCAGGCCATCCTGCCTCTTCGTATTCATGTGTTTCTACGCGATTTCAGCGCCGTGTAATCCTGGGTCGAAAGTGCATATTTGAACTTCAGGCACATTTTGACGATGAAGTTCATACGCGTCGAAGCATCAGCTCGCAGCCTACATGCCTCTCGAGGCACACAATGTGCACATAACGCAACCGGCGACCCGCCGTGGCACGAGTTGGTGTGCGGCGCCCTCTGCGGAAGACACTTTACTTTTCAGCTGACGCTCAGCTCACGTAGCGCGCACACTGAGCAATGACTCTGCCGGACGCAAGCTCTCGACTCGCCCATTAGTCCGGTTCCACTGGCAAAATTTCCGATTCAGCAACTGTTCCTGTGTCCAGCAGCGAATCCCACCTGAAACCCCAGTTTCGATAGTGTCAATCAAATTTGACGGGAAAAAAATGTCACCTCTAACCGTGCGCTTCCCCGCCTTCACAATGGTCGCCACACTGCGTCCAGATCCCTTGGCAGTCGCCCCATACGGCATAGCGCCTTCCCATGACTGATTGCGGAGCAGGACAAGCCCCCCGTACGGCAGGTGGGCCATCCCCCACGGGACCCAAAGACAGTCACCAAACGCGCAGGGCGGGCGGGGCGCGCACCTTGCCATAGCGGAAGCTGCCATAGTGCCTGGGTTCCTCCACTGTGGCGCTGAAGGGGTTCCACTCGTACATGGTCTGAAGCGCCAGGGGCGTGAGCTTGGCGTCGGGCGCATACGGCGGCTCCGGGTCCACGTCCCCGGCAGCGCGGTTGGGCCTGGTGTCGTGCGACGGGCCGGCGTCGTTCACGATCTCGTGGTCGTCCCAGGCCACCAGCACCTGCGTGCCCTCCAGGAACTCCACGAACAGGGCGTCCCCCCTGTTGTAGGCCCAGTGAGCGCGGAAGGCCTCCAGGTTGGCCGACTGGTTGAAGTCGCCCAGGACCTGGGCGTTGCCGTACAGGCCGGTGGCCGAGCACAGGTTGTCGGCGTAGATCATGTCGCCGGACAGCACGCCCACGTCCGCGGACTCGTCGGCCATCGGGCGGAAGATGGGGAAGCCCTTCTGGGCGTCGCGGCTGCGCAAGCAAAATCAGCGAACCCCCCTGATCAGCCATCCGCTGACGTGGTCGAAACTGCGCCAAGATAATGGAGACGGTCAGCGTGGGGGCATGCGTGGGGATGGTCAGCGGGGGGACCGCTCACCAGACGTCCTGCCCGGCCAGATCGCCTCCCCAGACGATCTTCACGGCGGCGGCTACGTCCTTGGGCGCTGCGGTCCTGAAAATGCCGTCGCCTGTGTCCAGCCCGTCGCACCCCGGCTCCGTGCCGGCCTTGAAGCACACCACGTAAGAGTACTCCGTGGCAGCCGCCAGCCCGGTGGCCACCAGGCGCATGGTGTAATCGCCGTTAGCGGAGGTGGTCTCGTCGGAGACGAAGGCCAGGGGCTCGCTGGAGGCGGCGGTCATGCTCACGTGCATGTAGGCCCCGGCGCCGTCCGTGCGCGACCATATGACCACCGTGGATGTTGTCGCCTCGCCGGCACCCACGCCGTGGGTGACAGTGAACGGTTGGGCCTGGGCCGCCGCGACCAGCGCAAGAATCAGAAGGGGGAGCATGGCGAGTTGGCGGGGGACGGGGGCGGTTGGAGGGTGGGCAACGGGGGCGGGGGCGCCTGAAGTGGGCAGGCGCGGGGAGATTGGGTCAGGGATTGGGAATGTGCAGCGAATCCGTGAATATTCCGCCGGCCGACTGCCCGGTGGGTGTACTGCAGGGGCGCCAGTGGGTGGGTGGGGGGCTGGGCCAAGGGGCGGCCTGCCCAGTGGCTTGCTCAAACGGCCAATGTTTGACATATTCGCATATTTTCCATACCAAGCGAGGGTACCAGCCGCCTCGAAACGGTGGCGTAATGCGGGGCCAAATCCGTCATCGCCAGGCCTAGGTGGCGGCTGAAACGCCGGGTAGCCAGCCCTGGGAAACCGTTGAGATGTCCAACGTGATGCGGTACCCCAACACAATGTTGCAGCCCTGTTGCACCGAGAGACGAATCTCCTAACCTCCCATGTGTTTTTATGCAATGGTTGATCAACGGGGAATATTCGACCACGACAGGGGCGCTTGCTGCGCCGGCAGCCCAAGGGCGCACCGCTCCAAGGAACAAAGGACGCAGAGAGCATCATCAAGGTACAACACGGATAAGGCTGAACGCCGGGTACGGCGGCACGGTGAAGGCAAACCAAGAACACCACCAGAGAGAAGCACTCAGGGTGACGCCACGCAGCGGCCGTGAGAGCACAAACACAATCAAGCCGCTTCAATCTCCGTGCAATGGCCGCTCCTGATGCTGCTCCTTGCAGTTGCCTCACCAGTGCAATGCGAAGTTGGAACCGTGCAGCTGCTCATGAGTGCTCACTCGGATTTAGCAGTAAACCAACAGAAGTGGGTCTGTCAGCGATATGACAGTGTACCTATTGTACAACGACACAGTCAACACGAACCATCCTTTCATGTCCTTCGCGCCACCACGCGAAAGTTTTTGCAGCGTAACTCTTGATCATTTGAGCTTTTCATTTCGCAAATTTCTCCACTCGCGAACACTTCAAGGCTTCCAACAGTCGCCTCCATGGCGCTTGCGCGCTTGGGCAGCCAGTGGCCCTTTGGTTTGTACAACAGCGACTGTGAAACGCGCCGCTCTCTGCTGAGTAGCGACCCCGGAAAGGGCGCCCGGCAAATCGATTATCATCGGTCAGCAACGTCTTGAATGAAGCCCCGTGGGTCAGTAGGTTTTAGGCTGGCCAAGCCTCTGGATGCCGCCGCTGCTTCAAATCACAAGGGCGGCTGCCACACAACAGAATTCGGTGAAGCGGTCACGCTACGTTGCGACTGTGCCACGAAGGCCAACGAGAAGAGGGGTACCAAGGAGTACGAGCAAACTCCTAAGCGTACTCTACCCCTCCCTGCGATCAAGTCGTGCACAGTGCTGCAGAGCAGACGACCATGTTAAAACATTCCTCACTCGCAGGGCACTTTGAAGTGCCGAAGCCGGTGGCAGTGACGCTGGCCTCCAGCTGGCGGTTCAAGATCCCCTGTGGACGCTCGACTTGTGTCCACTGCCAGCCAGCAGTGGCAACGAACCAACTCAACACAAGGGGTCAAGCTCAGCGACGCTCACATTGGCAGCGCACCAGTGCAGGGAACACAGCCGCCACCAGCGCTCTGGAAAGGTTGCCGCTCCTGCAGCTGCACAGGGCACCGTTACAGCTCTTCGAACACTGGCGCGTGGCAATTCAAAGGGTACTGCGGTCATCCAGGCGCCAGCATGTGTTTGTGCGCCCCCACGCCCTGTAACGCAAATGCCGTAACGGTTGCATGCATAACGCAAAGAAATGACCGCACGCACAAGCTCGCGACGCGACGCACGCACCACAGGGCTTCAGACGCCAGCCTCCCGTGTGGTCAATGAAGGCAGCGGTCAAACATGACAGGGTTTGTCGACACTGGGCGCCATGCGATACGCGTGCGCCCCGACGGCCAACCGTGAACCACGGCGCCGTCGGGCCGGCCTTCGAGGTGGCGTTGTCCCAGGGCATGCCGAGCACACTTCAGTGCGCCTGAGTATTGAGGATCCTTCCATCGACGGACGGCCGCGATATCGGGGTTGGGTCGAGAGGGATTTCGACGTCGAGTTGGAACGTGCCGAGAGCGTGTCGAACGTGCTGAAAGCGTGTTCGCCAAGGTGTCAAGAACATTTTGTAGTGCCCCTGCGCATCATTTACTTGTGTTCAACGTACCGTTGCAGTGGTTCATTGAACACGGCCATCGGCACAGACAAGCACGATGGGGGCATGCTCTCTTCTGAATGGACCACGAAGTTTTGGCACAAAATAGCGCCTTGCTCCACGCAGGGACATGCTGCTAAGCCACCAAGAGCGTCGCAAGGGCCAAGTCTTGTTGGACCACTTCATTCCAACATTGAGAGCAACATGTGTTGTTGCAATTTGTTTTTGATTACAGTTGGTAATCACGACAAACCGTGATATTGGACTTCCAGGTGACGTCTGGCACAGCACTCCCACAGCCCGTTTTGATCCCCAATGTCGTCGCCCTTCGCTCCAGCCCCTCACACATATAATTTTGCATATTCGATGTTGCCAAAATTCACGCTGCCAACTGTACGCTGGGCTTCCTGCCCTCTCGTCAACCCGCATTACTACTGATGCTAATTGATGGTTTCAATCAACTGCTTCCCTACAAGAGTCTTACCACCTGCCTCTGGAGCATTAGTCCCCTCTTTGTTGTCAACGATCGCTAAGGAGCGCAGCCCGTGCTCCACAGCCGCATCTGATGCAGCCCCCTGGCTGTACCAACAATCTGCAACAACATTCCCAAGCAGTCGCAAGGCCTCGTCATCTTCTCCATTTGCCCAAGCCATGTAGAACAACAGCTTTCGTCCAGCTCCACGTAGCTTACTCTGCATTTCCAGCCGATTTTTCTTCCAAGATCGTTTAGTCCTTCTCACAGACGGGAAGGATTCCGCATTTTTATCATCAATCGACATTGGCCCTGGTGTGCAGCTCCAGTCTGCGGCATCACAGGGATGTGTCCAAGAGTTAATGTGAGGGCGAGTCAAATAAATGAGTGAGTATGGGGAGCACGGTGTGAAATGCGATGTGGCTTGTGAACATGATAGTCACAATGGTGAAATGAGTATGGAGATATGCGGAACAAGAGCTGAATATACTTGCAGTGAATGTTATTTGACTGGCACACTCATCCTGTTATTCATCCGGTTATGGCTTGGTTCCCTTGCCTGGGAGCGACCATGTGCGAGGAGTGTGGTTTCGTCTCAGACTGAGACCCTTTCGTGGATGCACCATCTGTCCGTCCGCGAAATACCATGTTCGCGGAAATGGACGGACGCCACCACCGCCGTCCGCAAACTTTGCACCGTTTGCAGTGTCGTCGTCGTGGACTCCGTTAGACAGAAGCTGGCCAAGTGCACGGCAAACTGGTTTCCGTACCTGGGGTATATACCCGAACCCGGGTACTGGTTGTACCTGGTTACTGGTTATTCATGATTACCCGAGTATCGAGTGTACTTGGGTTACCTGGGTACACCCAGGTGCCCAAGTCCTGGAAGCCCCGGGTACCCGGGTCCGGTTTTCTTAGCCCGGGCACCTTCACTAGTCTCAGTCAATATAGTCAATATATACTTGAAGCAATAACCAACACAATTGATAGACCAGAGTACAGGCAGCATCCGAACAGAACCTGTTCAGGCATGTGTGCTCCATGTCATGTTGTGCAGCAAAGGATGCGCATTTTCTAGGACGAGGAGACTGGCGAGAATGACTAGGGTGAGGATATCCACACTGGCACATGCCAGACAGTATGCAGGTGTGGTAATGCGACACTACGGTGTTGGTGCACTGACCTTTCATTCTTGCTCTTTCACAATTTACGTGTGTCGATGGATCTTTAAGAGAAAATCGTAGAACGAGATTTGATTGAAATACAGGAGATAATACAGGGAAACGAAACATGACAACTCCATATGATGTGGCAGGACACCTATAGGCAGGACAAGACATGATGTATGAATGTACCCTTCAATCTCAAATTGACAATCCAAAGCACCATATACAACAATCCTACTTCCTTTTCATTGCATTTGGCAGCTAGTTTCAGCAACATCTGCCTCCCACCATTTTCGTTCAATGCCATCGAGTGTGTGGCATTGCTGCGCTGACACTGAATGACAACAAATGGTAGTCACTGCAACCAAAATGGTATTGCTTACTGCCCTTTGCTTGTTTATTGGCAAAGAGGGAAATCAAATGCAGAGACACTGCCACAAAAGTAGGAATAGCACACGTTGCTCTGTTCTTTGACAGTCATGACGATCACATTTATGACAGCTTGTCTGGCAGTATGTCATGGACGAGTTCTTCATCAACGCAGGTGCATGGCTTGTACTCAAGTTTCTCTGCATCGCCTTTGCATTGTCATAGGTTTTACACAAGGTGCTTTGCTTTGCAGCTCATCGTCCATGCACGGCCAGCAGGCTGTTTTCCACAGGCAGATGCACAGAGGGACTAGCACCTTCTTGTTGAGAACTTGATGCAACCGGCTCCCTCTCGGCTTCTGAACTGCTGTCTTTGTGGTCCTTCTTAGCCCGAAGCAAGCACGACTGCAAGTCGGATAGGGCCAGTACAACAACCGCACGTCCCCGATCCAGCACTTCAACCACATCATGCAAGACATCGATCGCGAAGCATCTGCATGGATCCAGCAATCCATGAAGCAATCAGCAGCTGACAAGGGCAGACATCTGAACCATCCACAGTCGCATGGCCATAGATATCTCCTCAACCGCCCTAGCACATTTGGCAAAGCATTGACAAACATCTGTCGTTGCACTTGATGCCACTGCATGAACCATTGTTGTTTAAGGTGCCAGTGCAATGTTCTTCATTTGTTTTGGCCAATTGCTGTCACTGGAATTTTCTATGCCCTTACACAGCAACGATTTCAGGGCCCTCTGGTGGGTGCTGGCATTAAGGACTGAACAAAATGGCTAACTACGCGTGTGCCAGAGGCATGACATTCACTTGTTGGATTCAGTTGCTATGGACAACAACATTCATTCACTTGCAATGGACAAACAGCAACAACTGCCCATGCACAATCAGACCGATGAAGGGCCATGATCAGTGCAATCATTGGGGCATAAGACATCACCAACCCATTGGTGTGTAGGCAACCGTCCGGAGGAATGAGCTGGATCAATATATCACAAATAGATGCAGGCCGGTAAGGTCATCGTTGACGGGACAACATTCCAAATGCAGCAGAGGTCGGGGGCAAGCCAAATCCCTTGTTAACAGTTGGCGCACTCTGACTGCTTCCTGTCTGGGCTGTCAGGCAATTTCTTGGCAAGTTCAGTAAGAAATCCATATAATACAATATGGTGCAATATTTAACATGCTACTTCACAGTACTTCACAGCACACGCAAGTCATGCCTTGATGCTGCACTTGAATGGAAAAGCCATCCTTCTGCTGCCACTGCTAGATAATTGTAAAGACATTCTGAGCTTTGCCACCGTGGCGCTTTAGGACCAACCTGTCCTGCAGTGTGCCCACTGGAGGGCTTGTGGCCCTGTGCAATGCCTCCAGAACTACTTCCCTGGCAGTTTGCACTCCGGCCGACTCTGAGGTAGTGGTGGATGACAGCGAACGTGACAGGCTCAAGGCGATGGCTGCCACTTCTCGTGGATCACTCAAGATGCTGCTGTGGAAACGGCGCACAATGAAGCAGTACGCATACCTGGAACGCAGCAAAACTTCTCTTGACAAACAACATACCCACTGCAGCCACCAGCAATAGTATGGGACAGAATCATGTGCATCCATAACTTGGCCTTGATCGAAGTAGTTGTGGATGGTATAACCGGCTCATGCTAAATATTAACCCAAAGGAAGAGCAATGGAGGCGGTGGCACTCTTTTATCTTGCAAATCAAACAGTGCCTTGCTGCAGATCGATGATGAGCTGGAGAACTGCAATTGAAACTTATCTTGGAATTTCAAGGTTTCCTAGATTCAAAAACAGCGGTGAAAGCCATTGCACCAGTTTAGCAATGTGCAAACTGCAAAGTTCAGGGTGACACACAATCGGCACACTACTCACATCTGCAAGCAGGTGCTCAGAATGCCTTGAACTGTCTGCAATAACCCTACTTGCAGCAACAAGAACGGAATGCAAGTGTGCGACTCCAAGAAACATTCTCTGGCCTATATGCTTGGGGGCTGGGCCTGGGTAAGCAAGAGGACAGGCAAAATGTACTTTTCTACTTTCTAAACAGTGTCCATTCCTTTGTGTTTTGCCACATAACCATTGATGCCGATGGTCCTGCAACTGTTGAGACAGATCTTTGCACCAATGGGTCTTAGCATTTGCTGTGAAGTAAACCATTGCATTTGCAGTATGAGAAAGCACTGCACGTTAAGCTGCAAGGTAGAAACGAGTTGGAACAGCAAATTCCCCAGTGCGCCATTGCGCAACTCCTTTGCATCAATGTCCAAATGACAGACAAAAGTGCAGAAATTTCACATGCACAGTCAGGTTGCTGCACAGTCTGCACATAGCCTCAACAGCAGTCCACACAACTGGTTTTTCACAGTCTCTGCTTGGTAGACATACAGCATGTCAATGAGTTGCCATCTCACAACATCTGATGGTGGTGCCTTGGTGAGTGACTGGACACTTGGCAGTGGCTCTGACGGTGGCAGCGGCAATGCCGACAGCGACTCACGCCCTGGTCGCCCAACCTGCTCCTCATCTGCCTCGGCGATCAATGCCATTCCCTGACATGTGAGTCTGAAACACAGGCATTCTGGGCTCAGCCACCATGGCTTCCAGGCTGGTGGCGTCTCCGCCTTGCTGCTCCGCTGAAGGTGGGCCACAAAATCTTCCATTGCCCCAGGGGGCAGCAGAGACTCCAAGTCGACGGTGCTGTCACCTTGACATGCCTGTGCCAGACACAGAGACTGACTGTTGTGAGTTCACGGCAAGGGAGAAACAAACAAGGTGGCAGTGTGAACACTGGGTCCTTTCAACTGGAGATGGCCTGTGAGAAACAGATCTACAGAGCAGGGGGATGGCGCCCATCTTGCACCTCTTGCCCTTTCTTCCCTTGAAAGCAATTTGCAGAGACATCACTCAGCCCTGTATATGGGTAGGTGTAGCTGGGCATTGAAGCTGTTGTGAGCACCCAACTTGCACCCAAATGTGCCCATTCTTTTTGGAAGTACAAGCCAAGGAAAGGACATGCCCCGCACTCCAATGGTGGGATCATTCCATCTGCAAAGTTTGTTCCTGAAAGTTTTATGTCTATTTCCCTTACACAATTCCTGCAAAATTGGGGAGCATGTAGCACAGTTCGCAGCAGGGGGGGCCAACATTCAGAGAGAATTTGCTATATTTGCAACCCCATGATGTGCAAGAAAATTTGCAAGAAAACCCCTGAAATGTGACATTAGGGATAGTTTCTGTCCATGGCGATGGTGATGACCAAAATCAGAAGGGGAGGGACTTTGAAGGGCATCCACTTTGCCCAGTGTGCTGATCGAAACCACAGTCGTTGGTTACCTTGCAAACAATTTCTGCGCTCTTGCATACCTCTCTTGCACAACAATGGTCAATAGCAAGCAATGGGTTTCAAGATGGGCAAGGGGCACAGCAATCCAGGAACACAATACTGCCCCTCCAGTTTGCCCCTGGCACATTTGGCAGACAGGTGGTACAGATGATTGCAATTGCAGCAGTTCTGTGACTGCTCTTTCCTGTGTTGACGATGTCTGGCATCTCTTTCTTTGCTACTAATGATCAAAAAAATAGATTTGGATGCTGCGGCGATCAACAAGTTGTGTGTTGACACCACAGCACTGAAGAAACAAGCTCAATGGACTCCAGCAGCAGAGGAGCCTCAGCCACTGCTGCAGACATGCCCTATTTGCAGAAATGCGTTGCGTATGTTGACACTGAGATAGCAATTGCGCATTGAACTGAGACAGGCAGAAGGCTTTCTTCCAATCACTCATACTCAGGGCAAGCATTCATGGGTGCTGTCCGACACTTCAGCAGCCCTTTTTCCTTGTTTCTAAGCGGCTTTCAGTTCAACTGCAATTATCATTGGAGCCTGCTTTCAGGGTACTTCATCTGCACGTGTGCAACGAAAAATTCGGAGTTTGGGCAATGCACACCTACATAACCAAATTCGCAGATTATCATCACAGAAATGGACCAGCAAATCAGATACCCACCAACCAGGCAAGTGCAGGGGCATCGCTGGCAGGGGCACACATTTACATGTGTTCTGCATCAGGTTCCTGCCACGGAAAGGAGTCTCACACAATTCTTGCTGAGGAGGTTGCCCCTTGTATGGCACGTTTTTCTTTTCATTCACCAACAGTTTTCACCATCTATTTTCACCGTTAATTGTGCGGAACTCTGTTTTCGCACAACAACCACACATTCCCTGCATGTTTCTGCGCCCACCATCGGCTAAAAGCGTTTGGATCTGCTGTGTGTTCTTTACAACTGGGACGAAAGGCGTTCACCTCAATAAGCGCCCGCGCCTGCTCGTCAGTCAGGTCGTCGCACCAATTCCTTTGGCCATGGTCGTCGTCGTCTCCCGCCTCCCGGTCGCCGCATTCAGGATCGTCCACGTGCAGGCGCCGCAAGGCCTTCAGCATCTCCCTCTTCTCCTCATCGCCCACCCGGATGGACCCCAGATCCGCGGAAACATTTTCTCTGCGGCGACGCAACCCCAATTGGCATCCAACACCGCACATCGCTGAGCCAAATCGCGATCGAACTCCCAGAAGGCGGTTGTGGCAATGAGGCAAACGGCTACCCTCCATCCCACGCTCCTCTACGACCCTAATCGGCCCAAACTGGCATCGCATTAGGCCTTAACACTGCACGGCTGGCAAAACGCCCTTCGTTGGGTGCTGCGACGGCCTGCGGCGCACAGGCCCCCCCCCCAAAAAATGGCTCGCGGGTGGAGTGCCCCACCTGTAGAAACCCTCCGTGCACTTGTCGCTGTGCCGCTTGTAGCACTCCAGGCAGCAGTAGGGGCTGTTGCACCTGGGGCACGTGTATCTCGAGAACTGGCGGCAGCACCTGCGCAGGGAAGCACAAGGCCCTCGAGGTCGGCGGGGACGTCCTTGGGACAAGGAGACCAGCGAGGCGTGGGTGGAAAACCCGAGCGGGTGCGCTCACACTCTGCAGACGGGAGCCCTGGAGGGAGGCATGGAAGCAGCGTGGCCACACCCGGAGTGCTGCCGTTGGCCCGCTAAGTTCAGGTTGCCAGAATGTCGGTTGCCGCATTGTCATTGACCCAATTCTGACGCATGTTTGGGCACACTTAGAATTTTTTCCTATTTTTGAAGCAGGCCGTTCTTCGAAGGGTGGCGCATGGTGCTCTCATGGTGCAAGTCGGCCCGTCGTGGAAATTGGGAGTGGTTGACACAGGATGTTCCACATTTGCGTGCCTCAAATAGAGGATGTGCTGTGTGTTTTGCGCTCGCATTTGAAGCGAAACTGTTGGCTGTTGTTGATTTAGGACGAACGATTTGGAACGAGCTGCACTAAACTGGAACGAAACATCAGGCGGCTCTGGATGTGCTGAAATGTTCTGGTGGGTTGGTGTTGTAAAAGTGGACGTGGCAGGGGATGTGCAGATGTGCATGCGGGTTGCTTGCCTTTTTGTTGAGCACGAACTACTTGTCATTCTTGTGAAACTACTGCGGGAAATGTTACAAGTTCATGCTCTGCCGTACTTTCCGACCGTTTTTTTTCCCACTGCGTCATGGCAAGCCTATCACCCCATCATCATCATATGACGAGGGTGGTCAACAAATGCGCGAATGCCGACTTGCGACCTCGCGCGCCCCCCAGTTCGCCGGCAGCAAGGCAGTCAACCCCAAGGAGCTCGGCCGGGCGCCCTTTCCCCCTCCTGGCCGCAAACCCGCCACCCCTTCTATGCCTCACCCCCAACCAGCCACCAGCCTCCATGGACGTAGGAATGTTCTCCCTCTACGACAGGGCCGATGATGGCCGGGAGCCCCACCAGGGCCCCCGCCACGCGGGCTGCGACTGCGGCGCGAGGGCCAAGATGGAGTGCCTGGTGTGCAGCAGGCTGGGCATGAAACCCGCCCCGGCTTTCTGCTGCCCGGACTGCTTCGCGGGCCACTGGAAGAGCCAGCACTGCAGGCTGCACCGCGGGCAGGAGGCAGCGCGGCAGGGGCCCAGCGTCCCGTGGTGCGTGGCCGGGCCTTCGCGCCGCGGAGCCTCCTGTCCCGGGCGAAGCGCCGTGGTTGCAATGATCGCTGCAATGGTCCCAATCGGCGCGTTTGCTGCGCGATGCGCGGCGTTTGGTGCGGGGCGCGACACGGCAGCGGTGCTAACATCGGTTCCATACGACGGCAGACGGGCGCGGAAGGGGCATGGGGATGGTTCGTGCCGGATCGATCTCGACGCGGGGAGGAGGGCGGTGTTGTGAGCTAGGCGTCGCACTGCGGCGTCGATCGGTGCCCACCAGGCATACATTTCCCCCCCGGAAGGCATGGGGCAAGGCGCTGCGTGCACGGTCGCTGCGGCCTCGTGAGCCTTCGTCATGTACGCGACGCGCCGCGCGAGGACCGCCAGCCGCCCTCGCGCGTGGCGGCGGGCCGCGATCGCTTTGCGAGTGCGCGATGCGCAGCGAGGAACCTCCCGGCAAGTCGTGGGGTCCGCGACGACCCTTCTTGGCTGACCGAGAGCGGGGCTGGGCGACGACAGCGCGTCACCAGGTTACTTCTGGCTTGCCGGAGTGTGCCGCCTGCTCGAAGAAGCCTCCGCCAGCGAGCACAGGTCTCCGCAGCGGGCGTTCGCGGTTTGACAGGGCTTGGCGCCGCTTCGGGCCGCGCGCAAGTCGCGACCCGCGGCTGTCAATCCGGACCGCGTTCCTTGGGGCAATCCCTGGACGCCCGCCGTCGCTGTTCCCCTGTCGACTCCTCCTTGTCCGTCGGCCGCGTTGAGAGACGGTGTGCGCAGCTGGTGCGGTGGCCGGGGAGCGTGAGGGGCCCTGCCGCGGATTGCTGCCCGCGGGTGTCTTTGGTGTGATACTCTTGTCGTGGGCAGGGTGACCGTTGCGCCCCCACCCCACGATCCCACCGCCACCGGCACTGCCAGTCCCATGACGATCAGAAGTTGCTGATATTAGCGAATCCATCTCCGTGCTTGCTGCCAATTGCAGATTCAATGTCTTGCCAGCGCTGTTGGAGAGGCAAAGTGTTCCAGTGCTCGTGGGCTGCAACTATCACCACGCTCATTTTTCCAGCTCTCCCTCTCATAGTAGAATGCCATTTGCTGGCGCTTCAGCCGCAGGCACATATACACACAAGGCACCACAGCATTGCAGTGTGGACAAGGGTGCCCAACATGTGCTTGCTGGAAGAGCTCCAATGCGTCGCCAAAGCCTCCAATGCATGACCTGGTTCCTGGCATTAAACATGCATCACAACGCACACGTGTCCTGACTGCTGCACTAATGACGCACAGGGCAAAGATGTGTGCTAAACCCCCTGCTTGTTACAAAGGGCCTCGCACAGCGTGCCAGGGGGTTGTCATGGTTTTGCACATTTTCTAATCCTCCTGCGATCCTTCCCACTGTGCTGATTCCCTTTCTTTGCTTCACAGTCATGACCAGCCAAGGATGCAGTTTCCAGCCCCAGTTATGGGGCCTGTTGCGGGGCCCATCTACAGGAGCCCCCAGGTGTATGCACAGAGCCCAATGGGCCTCTGGAAACTGCCAAACATGGCAGATCCGATGCGGAAATGATGGACGGCAGACAATTGATACGGGAGGCTGTTGGATTCTCCACTCTGTAGAAGGCAGGTTCAGAGCCACTGGGGTTGCGTCCAGGAAGGGGCAAATGGCCCCAGTTTTGGGTTGGGGGTGGGTGGGTGGAGGGGAATAAATTGGCAAATTGAGCTGTGCAAGGGGGTACTTCATGGGGGATCTTGCGTTGAGAGTTTGACGTGTGTTGAATTCTTGCCATTGTCTCACTTCATGGAGACAGGGAGTGTAGGAGGGAAGGAGAGGGGTGGGAGAGTGATAGGAGCATTTTCGCTGTGCAGTTTTCGTTGCGTAGGACGTTTGGCCCCAGTTTTGCCTGTAGGCTAGGCGCTGTGGTGCTGTGAGAAGAGCGCACAGCATGATGGGGTTCAGCGGCCACTGGCTACAGGTTGAATTCTTGGCGACACGAGTGTGCTGCAGTCTTGCCCGCCATCACAGCAGGTTCTTGGTGATGGCATATGGCATCCAGTGGTTTGATGCAGTGCAAAACAGGCTTATTTAATTGGATTCCGTCTTCTTCCGGCTGCACCAGTGCAGGCAGGTTCAGCAATGGCCTGAGACCGAATGCAGCGTGTCAGGGGCGATCGTTCTTGAGACTCTGCTTGACAGCATCCGACACATCCAACACTGTGCTCCTGCTCTGTGATGCGTCGATGGGAGATCCTTGTTGTGTGCATTGTGACGAGATGGACATCAAAAGTGGCCACATGCAGCTGACAGTGATACAAGGGGCACGTGCTGCTGATCACGTTTTTCTGCTTCTCAGCTAAGGTGAAAGCGTGCCCATGCAAGTCTCTCAACTGCAGACCCCACCAAATGCTGAAACTTCTTTGGACTTGGTGCTTTACCTTTCAGCACATTCATTGACACTGACAAATCATTCCTGGGCATCTTTGGCGATGGAGGACAATTGTTTGTCCCAAGTTGATCCTGAAACCCTAACCTTCAGATCCAGGTTTTGCATCACTGTGCTGGACTGGCGCCTGGCCCATGCCCGGGCTCGACGCTTGGGGCGAGGCAGCTGGGGATGCCACGGACGGCGAATCAGAGGCCGAACCGGTGGGGCTGGGCGACACGGGAACCTGTGGCCTAGGCACCCCGTGCTCCCCGTTTGAATCCACCTCGGACTTGACCTCCGCCTCAACGTCCGCCTTGGCCGCCTTCACTGCGTGCGCCCACTCAGGCCGCTTCAAGACAGCCTCCACGAGCCTCGTTATCTGTGGGTTGGGGTGCCGTCGCAGCTCTAGCATTGCCTGACAGGAAGGCCCTGCTTCGTCGGGTTCGTTCGATTGTGCATTTCCAACGCAGTCACAAAGGAAAAATTGTTCAAAACGTGCACCTCACTGGATCGATGCCCATTTCGGTGGCGATTATGTTTTGGGCAACGCACACTGAGCTGAAGCAAGGGAAACAGCGTGCATTTGTGGCGCCATTGGGACCGCGTTTGGGTGGGCACGAGAGCAATGGGGCAATTATGACCGGCATCTCTGCTGCTTCGTTGCCAATGGGCAAATTGGCTCGATGGCACTCTTACCACATTAGAATCTCTGTTGTTGAGGGATTCAAACACCACTGAAACCCATTGCGCGTCCCGAATCAACACCAAGCCGATGTTCATCAGGAGGGAGCATGTTCAAGCATTTCTATTCCTTCCCTTGTCATTTCTTTGATCACCATGTGCACGCACACCAGACGGGCTATGAACGAACAAAATGCCATTGAGGGGGAAGAAAAGCTCTGCACATGCAAATGCATGTGGGTATGCTGGTCATTACCTGCCAGAGGGCGAGGCCCTGCTCTGTCTTTTGTGGCAAACGCAACATAAGGAACTCAGCCACTCGACACGCGCTGGGCTGGATGCCGCTTCAACACGGCGGCGACTGCCACCAGGGAGCAAGTTCTTGTGGAGGACAGCACTCGCCACAGCCTACTACAGGGAAGTCAGCTTGGCGTCTCGGGATGCATGCAACGAAACAATGGGGCTGGCGCGCCTCCCACCTGGTGGAGGCTGTACTTCAGAATGTAGTCGCTTGGGATGGGGTGGTCCTCCAAGTAGCTGAGGTATATGCACGCCGTGTCCTCAAGGGTGACGTCGTGCACGCTCTGCCGCATGGGCTGCAGCACTTGTGTCACCAAGAACCTGCGCAGGTGCTTTGCCTCCCTCTTTTTCTGGCCAACATCGTCGCAAGGCTGTCAGGCGGAGTTGCTGCTGGTGCACAGCAGCATGAGCTTGTAGATTCCACAGTCAGCGCGATGCCCTGATTGGCTGCAGAGATTCCCTTGCACGTTGTGCCTGACCAGCAATGTCCATTAATGACTGTTGGGCATGGATTGGCCAAGTGTGCGCTCTTGTAGGCCATCAGACCCATTCCATTTTACCTGCTTCCCTTTTGCTTTAATGCTGGGGATGGGGTGCTCTTCTTGTCAATAACGTCATTGAAAGTCATTAAATTAGCAACGAACGATCTACACGGCAGAGCCATGCCTTTTTTCATGGTGATAGTCACGCGTATATTTGCACATTTTATTGTTGGACCAAAGCAAGCATGTTACGCATTGCCACTGAAGGATTGGTCAGCTCGCAACGGGAGCCGACTCCAAAGCAGCGATGGTACTCCACCCACACGAGCTTGTCCGGCTTTCACACTCCTGACTTCCGGATGTGACGGAGATGCAGATAGAACCCTGTGTGATTGACAAATCTGATGATCTTCGCGGCATGGGACATATGAGCTCACCATACCAGCCTGAAGGCTTCCATCCTTTCTGCACGTCGCCGCCTGTTTTCTGCATGTGGATCCGTCGGATCGGCGCCCTCGAGAAGAGATCGGGACCGATCTGCACCGAGGAGAACACACCTATTAATACCCCACATGCGCTGAGGAAACTCAAAAAACAATGCCAAATTCCAACGGAACAAACCTTGTGGATGGAATTCTGGCCTCTACCGACCTGTAGATGCAATTGTAGATTGCGTAGGGCAGAACATGTGAAGGGAATTGATTTTAGTTCCTTTGATCCTCTAACAATGGAGTAAGTTGTTCACGCCAAACGGGAAACACGCACAAAATGTTTGTCATATAGGTGGATGTCGTGGCGGTGCAAGCCAACACAATCACGGGAGGCAGTACACCGACAGAAATTAGACACAGTTGCACAGACACAGTTGTGGCTCCTGCTGTAGCGCGTTTGTGGGAAAGCAGGGATTGACCATGCCTCGATATCAATCAACATCTTGACAGCCACAGTTGGCTTGCAGGCAGGCTCCCAAGTTGAGCGCGACCATGGCTCGCGTTGGCTGCTCTAGAGTAGGCCTATGACATGGCGCGCTTCAGTGTTCCGACCACCGGCAACCCGTGATCCACAGATCCCCGTCAAAAGCGGCCCACGGACCCTCACCCTTCCGCAGGTGCATCTGCGTCTCGACAGGCCTGCGGATCGCGGGGTTGATCTCCCTGTCCAGCTCGCTGTCGTCCGGGTCACTGTCTGGCGGGTAGCCATCGCTCTCGGGCCCGGCGCCTTCCTGGCCCTCCTGCCAGACCTCCCTCCCGCGATCGGGGTCCTTCGGCAGTCCGGCCATCGCGTCGGGTCGGGCACCGGGGGCGGGGGCGCCGTCGGTGGCAGTTGGGGAGGAGCAGAAGCGCCCTTCACTGCCAAGGAACCCAAAGGCGGACGCGGTGGTTGGCGCGAGAAACAGCGACGTCCTCGCCCATGCCGTACTTACCTGGTATTAGTATCCAACCCCTATTAGTATTTATCCCCTTCTTTGGGTCCGAACCACGTTGCTATCCGTGACCCGGTGTTAGCATCCACGCCCCAGCCCCCAACTTCAACAGAAACAAGTGAAGGCGCGGATGGTGGCGCGGGTTGTCGGCAACTGGTGTTGGGCCGCGTTGCCCAGTCTGGGCCAAACGGCATTCCCTGCGATTCGCGCATCGACGCAGACGATCGGGTCGGGGTGGATGCCGTCGAGGGAGAATTTGGAAGGAGGCCCACGAAAGGCTGCCGGGGTCGACGAGCTGCCGTTGGGGTTTTCAGCGCAAAATCGCTGGGCAGCAACCGGCGCCGCAAGGCGCGACTCAAGAAGCGGTCGAGATTCAAGGCACCCTGGTTTCTGGATTGAGTCAACCTGCTGGTCTCCCCGGCCGGCCAGAGCGGGTTCTTAGTGTGGCGCCCGCCAGGGGCGCCCCAAGGCCCAGCACCAGGACTGGCCAGGCGACGACGCTGGTCGGGGCGACCGCCGTTGTGAGGCCCCGCCTCGCAGAACTGCCTGCAAAACGCCACGAAGGCATGGCCCGTCCCCAGTTCACACATCACACTGGCTACCAGGCAACAAACCCAATCACAGACCCCAGCGGGCATCAGCCGGGGACAACGCCCGGGGCCAAGCCCGTCGTCACGGCGCGACGCCCCAGTGTGTTGAAGTCCATGTTGGTCCTCGTTCTTCACGTCGCAGAGAAAAACGCGCCTCAAGCATTCCACCGAACCCGTGTTAGACCAAATCGCCAGTTGTCCCCACCCGGTGCAGCCCCAAGTCCAAGCTGCCGGGTACCGTGAAGAGGCTTACAACTTCCAACAACAGCATTGTCACTGACAGAAGTGTGGTGTTTGTGATTTTGTAACTTGGACATGGTGATGTTGCTACCTATGCACTGGATCTTGCATTGCTTCAAGCCCGTTTTGGGGCATTTCGTGGCCTATTTTCCAAAAATCTGCTTTGTCTGCTCCTTAGATCAGGGTTCTAAACTGAGTTAGTACTTATGACCACTATCAGTATCCACCGCTCATTTTGGGGGTCCGCTTAAACGCCTACTAATGCCGGGTGTATTTATTGGGCACCATGCTTCAATATGTAGGGTACGCGGTGCTGCACACAACGTGCAGCATCACCACTTTGCGACGGAGCCGTACTTGATGGCGGAACCGTTGCAGCCCCGTGTTGTTCAATGCGGCGCCTTCACTCCGTAGTCCCCTGCGTGGCCTTCATTCAAGCAGCTGAGGCCTCCAAGTTCTCCCTTTGGACCCCGACCGACCTCTGCTACAGCCTGCCGCTGGCACTGACTTCCTGCCTAAGTCCATCCGCGGAAATAGCCCCTAGGTCGACAGTCCGACGGCCTTGCACAGCAAGGCGCCTGGGAACTCACAACCCGGGGCGCGTCCCCTCCTCTGGAGCCTCTCCGTCAGATGGCCCGCCCCTTAGCGGCCCTCGCCGCCGCGGTGCTCCTTGCTCTGGCCGGCCTGGCCGCGGGCAGGATCACGCACCGGGCGATCGCCCACGACCCCAGGCCGCTGATCATCGTGGAGATGCCCTTCGGCTTCGGCGCCGGCGGCAGGGTGGAGGTGCAGGTCCGCGACGCCGCGGTGCACGTGTCGCTGGGCAACCTGGGCGGCCTGGGGCCCGAGCTCCTGGGGCGGCTGGGGCTGTTCATCGCGCCGGCCCGGGAGGACACGGTGATGGCCGAGCAGTACGGGGACGAGTGCCCCCTGGACCGGATGGACAGCAGGGTGCTGGTGCTGTTCAACCACACGGGAATCCAGGAGCAGGTGGGGCCCGCACGAAACTGTCGGTTCAGCGCGTGTAGCAGAACACGGGGGAGGATCGCGTTGCACCGAAAGCTACCCTGGCGCCCTGCAGGGTGGGGGTGGTGTGCGGGAATCTATCCTCAACAAATTCTCGAGCTGTGTTTGGGATTGGTTATTGGCTGCAGGTGAACTCGTCTCGCGGCACGCCAGAGGCAGGGGCGTCCGGCGACTTGGTGGTCAGTGCAGGGGTGACACCCAGCTTGCCAGGCCAGTACGCACTGTACTACGCCAATTGCAACAAGCTGGGCTTGTTGCAGGTGTCCTTCACAGCCAGGATCGAGGAGTACAACCAGGTCGCGGGTGGCAGAAAGGACTACTTGTCTGTAGGGGAAACGGAGTTGCCGTCACTGTATACGGTGAGCAGCATGTTGCAATGCGTGGCGCCTTCAAGGTCATGGGTCTGGATTTGAAATGCCCTCTCAGAATGCGATGTGCACTACTCTGGGCACAATAGTGCAAAGCTTGTCCGTAAAGGTTCGTAAATGTCCGTAAAGCTTGTTGTAAATCCTTTTTGGCACGCTGGCCAAAACGTGGCAATGCACTGGACCTGCACCTGGATGGCATTGGAGGCCATAAACACGGATATGGTGGCCTGCACGGCCCTCTTGGTTATGTGTGGGACTCTTGGCAATGGTTGCTGGCAGGGTTTTGCGCTGTTATTTCTGTAGGTTCAATTTACAGTGAATTGGGGATGGGATTGGGATTCCATCTCTTGGCAGCTAATGTTGAATGTGTCCCAAACCTCAATTCCTCATGGGACTAACACTGCCCGCCTGAAACCAGAGGTTTGGGTAGGGCTGTGGGTGGACAGGTTGTGGAAGAGGTGGTCAGGGTGCCTTTTGTGAGTTTTCCTTCTTAGCCTTGGGGAAAGTGAGCAAAACTGCCAAGGCCCAAAGGGTTGATCGAGAAAGGTTGTTGATGTTGATACCAAAGTTCATGGGTGTTGAAAGCTTGCAAGCCAGGGACCAACAGTAGGAAAGAAAGGAGTCATGCACCCAAGCTTGTGGCCTGCCACTAGCCAGCTTGCAGACCTGGATGGAATGTGCAGTGTGGGTGGGCAAAGAGCTATGGCAAGTGGATGGATTTGCCAAGCTGCTTAAATGCCATCCTGCATTGCGTATGCACTGCTGTTTTCTCTTTTTCTGAAAGTAAGTGCAGCTTTTGTAGACGATGACAGCAAATCTAGTAGTGTTTTTACCACAACTTCAGCCCAAGGTGGTTGGTATGAAGATGGGGTGCCAGTGGCTGAACCACTGGCTGTATTTTTCATGAAATTGCTACTCTTTGGTCGCTGTGCTGTAATCGAGCCTTCTTCCAAATGTGCTTGCTCCCCAATAAATTCTGAAAACCAGTATTTCCCAGCTTGTGCTTTGTTCAGCTGCCTGTTCGCAGCTTTTGAAGGGCAGTCGCTCTTGCATGGCTGCGTTGTGGACTGGCCCCAGGCTGCACCTGCAAAGTACTCAGCAGGTACCTGACAACATGTGACAAGCACCTGGCTGACGTGCCAGATTCCTCAACAACGACATTTGCTGAAATCGAGTGTTGCTGTTCTTGCCAGGGCATGTTCCTGGTGTTCTCCCTTATGGCTGCAGCCTGGGCCTACCTGTGCTGGAAGGAGCGCCACAATGTGCACAACATCCATTACCTCATGATGGTCCTCATTGTCTTCCGGGCGCTGACCTACCTCGCTGAAGCCGGCATGCAACACTACATCCGTGCCACTGGGGACCCTTCTGGATGGAACATAGCCTACTACATCTTCACCTTCTTCCGGGGAATAATGTTCTTCACTGTGCTGGTGCTCATTGGCACAGGCTGGTCATATGTGAAGCCGTTTGTTGGGGAGAAGGAGAAGAAAATCCTTGTGGTGGTCATACCCCTGCAGGTAGCTGTCAGCCACAGCCATCTTGCATTCACTTGCAGTATATGGGGCTGCTCAGTTGAGAATGGGAACAGATATGCATCTGGGAAGATGTGTACTCCTGGATCTGCATCCCACATCGTCTGACAGTTTAAGATGCAGTGCTTCAGTATGTTAGTTAGATGCAGTCGACACAGAGTTGTGCCTTCTGTTGGTGCACTTGAAATGCACACTTGTGTCTGTGAACAGCCCCCAACATCATCTGCTGAGGACAAGGGGAGAGATTGGCCATGTGTCTGAGCGCATGCATTGAGGATTGGTGTGCCCCTGTGCTAGATGCTTCACATCGTTCCTACCTGCTAGAAAGGAGCCAGGTTTTACGATTGTAGTGCGCTTGGTCGTTTCATAATGTGGGCTTGAAACAATCAATGCCCCCATGAATGTGGGGTATGGAGTGCATGGGGACATATCAAATATTCTGGGCGGGGAAATTATTTTACAGAGCTGGACCCTGTCGCCCCGGGGAGTGGACAGGCCACATTTGGTAACCTTGCAACAGATGTGATCAACAACGCCGCGATGGATGAGACTTCTGTGACAGATGCCTGCAGTGAGTCATGAAGCCCTGACCTGCCTGTCCTGTTCCACTGCAGGTCTTTGCCAACATCGCCATAATCGTCCTGGACGAAGCATCCCCGGTTCGAGAGTCCTGGTTCGAGTGGAAAGACATGTTCCGCTTGGTGGACATCGTCTGCTGCTGCGCGATCCTCTTCCCCATCGTCTGGTCGATCAAGCACCTGAGGGAGGGGGCCGAGTCAGACGGCAAGGCAGCCGTCAACATGGAGAAGCTGACCCTGTTCCGTCAGTTCTACGTTCTCGTGGTGGTTTACATCTACTTCACACGGATTATAGTGTACTTGCTGCAAACCACACTGTCGTTTGAACAGAGCTGGATGAGCAACGCCGCAGAGGAACTCGCAACCCTCACGTTCTACCTGCTTGTGGGAATTAAGTTCCGACCGCACAGCGAGAATAGGTATTTCAGGCTTGCATCGGATGCCGCAGTGTGACGCAGTGGAAATTTTGCATGTTTGAGGTGAACGTAGCGAAAGCACAGTGCCAATATGCGCTATGTGTGCTGATGAAATACTGGACTGGTAGCGTGCTCCCCTGGAATGGTGTTGTCGCTGTTGAATTCTTCCTTGCGTTGCCTGTGGTAGCGCCTCAGGGTTGTTGTAAGGTTTCCGCGATCCTGGATTGTTGGGATGTGGGAGAGAAGAGTTGTGAGGGGATGAACTGGTTGTTGTGCAAGGTTTGATGAGTAAATACGGGCTGCTCGCTGTAGAGGTAGTGGTTTTGTGAAGGGTGCATTGCCATACTGCCTTGGGCTCTCGCCGAATGCAGTGATTAATGCAGGAGCACGCAGATGCAGAATATACACTGCCCTGTGTTGCCACAATGTAACATCCTCTGTTGGCAAGGCATCGGCTACCGTTGGCACCTGCTATGCGCTTTGTTTGTCTATCGGTGGTGTTCCCAAGCCAGGAAAATTTGCCAATGTCTGATTGCCAGCCTTGTCTGCCTGAAAGGAAGGTGACTGTCCACTCATCTGCTATACTATGATGAATTGTGTGAGGCTTTAGGGGCCATTGAGAACGCGAGGGTGGATAGTAGGTTTGCTGTGTATGTATAGCTCATTTTTTTATTTGTGGATTTCAGTTAAGAGACCCTGCCCACCATTTCGGTGGACATGCTTTGTATCTCTCCATGGATAGATGCTGTTCAGGACGCTATGGCAACAAATGGCCTCGCTATAAGAAAATATCCTTGCTGCTCAACGACGAGCTGAACATGAATCGCGCACGGCCAAAACAGCGGAAGACTACAGGGGTGGTTGGGATGTGTGGATGTGGGCGAGGGTTGGGTGGGGCGAGGGATCCTATCCCTTGTTGCACCCTCTGGTGTCCATGTGGGCCTTGGAAGCCATATACTGGCGACCAACTGCTCGCCCAGTCCTTTTGCTCACTCCCCACGTCTTCACTCGCTGGCGCCCCCAACCGCGAAACCAAACTGTAATTAGGATTCAGGGAAAAAAAGGCCGGGCGAGTGACGTGTTTTCTTGCACGCCTGTGCAGTGCATATGCGTGGGATCCCACAATTGTCAAGAGGCCGGCTCGGCTGTTGAGTGTCCCTTTGCGCGTCGTACAGTTCGGATCCAAACCTCGGAACACAGCAGTGACCCCCAGCAGATAGCGCTTAATGGGGCGAAGGCTGCTTGCCAATCACGCCAAAACGGGCCCCCAATTGCCGGGTGACTGGGGGCCAGTCTCCTCGGTTCCAATGTGTGGAGTCCACACACCCAATCCACAGCCCCAGCGCTGGGCTGGTGCTCAGGTTGATTTGGGACAGTCAATCGTCATTGCCTTCATGGCGGACATCCCATTCCTTGACGGCAGTCCGTTGCTAGCTGTCTGCCCACGGAGGGATCGCGAAAACTCGTTGCAGTTTTCTGAGCGCGGCCGCTGCTTGCAATTTGTTGCTTGGAGGCCCACCAATTAGAATTCTACTTCCGAATGTGCGTCCACAAAACAAAATGCTCCAATATGTGCAGGACATTTTTCCTACGACATCGAGTGTGGCGAAAGTGCGGCTGGGGCGGCACTGGGCACAAGGAATTCGCCGCCAATGAGGGCACAGCAGTCAGCTGCTCAAAAGCTACCCCTGCATAAGAGGAATCCGCTTGGCTCTCGATTCCTGACAACTCCCCGAGTTCGGTGGCTGCCGTCTTACTGGGCATGTCCAAGGGAAACGTTCAACACCCTGAGCACTAAAAGCTCCCAATGCCAATCCTCTTAAACAGCTTCGATATACGTACGGGACGTATGAAATTCTTGCACGTCGGTCGCAGCTTTGAAGTGTACACACCGGTCAGTGGCGCCAACAGAGCGTTCTTAACCTCGAACGCGCACATGTCGCAGGGTGACAGCAGTAAAACTTGCAAGTATAAAGACGCAACCTGCACCAGGAACTGAGCTAGAGGTTGGTTGGCAGAGGGTAGGAGGGGTGAAGATGCCAGGAACTTTTTTTTCCTCAATGCAACGCCACACCAGTGGATTCAATAGGCACGGGCAATCTTTGATTTTGGCATTCTCCCTGCAAGCCACTCTACGTACGCTGCCAATTGGGTGGCGGCTGGAAGCCGCAATTTTTGGCTCGACATGCGAACTGGGGGACTTCTACTGGGGGCTGCGGAGGATGGACCACCCTGGAAAATCTCCGTGCCCAACAGCCACATTCTCTACCTACATTGGCGCTGAGAGTGTCAGCGTCCTATGGGTACATCCCCCTTGGTGAATGCACAGCAGCACATGCGCAGCAGAGGCAGCCACTGTGGTGATGCCATTTGACTGCCTGTTTCAAAGCACACAGACAGCCAACAGAGCAGTCGGATGGCTCGCTGTGTTGCAGAGATAATGTTAAAGGCACTTGCTGCTTGCCACCTACGTTGCTTGCATTGGCTGCCTCGTGCAATCAATCATTTGGTTAGGCTGTTGCCTATGTAGCTAGATGCGTACCCCAGCCAGAAGTCCAAGCAGTGTGCAAAAACAGACGTCTTGCAAACTCGCATGATGTCAACATCGAAACAATGCTGCTGCTAGTGTATACAGAACTGCAGAGCTTCCCTTGGTACCCACAAGCACACAATTGTGTTCCTGTTTGAATGATTGCACTCCATTCGTTAGCATTGCTTTGGGGTGCCACTGTGCAACACCCACGTCTAAATCTTCTGTCCCCAAACTGAGTTGAATGTGGCCCCTGCACTGGTGCCAGGTGCCTGGGTTCCGGAGGGGCCTGCCGCTATCTGTCTGATAGTAGGAACCTCCTGCCCTTGGACGTTTGGCCCAGGATTGCCATTCGCCCCTTGGTCCGAGGCACCCTTCCTTGCACCCTTCCTTCCACCCTTCCATCCCAACAGCCTCAGGATGTACCTTGCCAGCTCGCCATAAAGAGACCCAGCCCTGTCCAGCAGCTGCAGAAGTGCGGATATGAAAAAGTGCAGTGCCTGCGCGTTCTCGTCTACCAGAAACGACACACGACCAAAGAACTCCACAACCCTGTGCAAGCCCTGAAGGAAGACCTGCCAGCTGTGCGTGTGGCCTTCCCCTGGGGCAACTGGTGGCCCGGGCTGCATCGGCCCTGAGGCACCGTAGGGGCCAATACCAAATCCTAGTGATGGTTGGTATGGAGAGCCATACCCAGCATAACCCCCACCAAACCCACCATACGTGCTGCCGTATCCCCTTTGATAGCCACCGTAGCCTCCGTAGGCTCCCCCATAGCCTCCATATCCTGTGCCATAGGAGCCATATGCACCACCATAAAATCTGTTGCCATAGCTTCCATAAGCATTGTTGCTGTACGACATGTATCCATTGTTGTTCGAAGATGCACCATAAGACACAGGGCCAGCTAGTGCGCTTGAGGTAGGTTGTGAGGAAGCAGGAAGCACAGACGCATTTGTAGATGAGCCACTTGCTGGAGCTTCAGCGCTGCTTGGTGTGGTATCCCACGGTTTGCGCTGCCCATCCCCTGGGAGGCTGGGTCCCAAGGGTGTTGCACTTCGGCCCGATGTTGAAGATGTTGGGTTGACCTCCCACGGCCTCAGTGGTCCCGAATCTTTCAGAAGGCACATGTGCACACAGTCAGTGGAGGGGCCTCTCCATTTTTCCAAGTTTCCTTTGCTTTCAGATGGAATATGCAACGCCCAACCACAGGATGAAAATCCACATTGTGGACAGATTCGGATATCTTCCGGCACAGCATGACACATCACATGCATCAATAGCGTGTGCTTGAACCACAAAGTAAAATCGTCGACAGCAACAACACCACTTCACTCTCATGCGCAAGAGGGAATTCACTTCAATCAATCAATCTGACACTTGTCGATGCTCCGAAAGTGCCAACGAGTGGGGAAGGTGCCAAAATAATGTCATACTGGGTAGGGATGCTCCCCTGTGGCCAGTGATCGGTATGTGACCTTTAACTCGACACACTTGCTCGTTCCTGTCCAGTGTGCAAGGGGACAAAAAGCTGAACAATGATGCTCTGTGGCGCTGGCCAAAGATGGGATAAGTCACAAAGCCCTCTCAAATCTCCAGTCAAGGGCTGCACAGGGAAGCGATCTGCCACATTTGTGATTGCCACATTTGCTGCCACATTTAGCAGCGCTTGCACTCCAGAAAACCCTGGTTGCTTGCGCTGATTGGTTCAAGAAAGAATGTTCCGTGTGCCGAGGAAGCCCTCGCACTTTGGCAAACAAATGCACTCGGCAGTGCCCCTCCCTGCGCTACCGCGCAATGCAAGGACTGCCGACAGGGCGTAGGCGCTTGCAGCCTTAGGGAGAGGAAATCGCGCGTGCGGCGCGAGGCCCAAGGCACTGACAGTGGTTTGAAAAGCCGACCGCCACCGCCTGAATGGGAGACCGCCACTCGCCAGCCCCCTACCCCTTCAACCGACGGCACCAACTGGTTCCAAGAGCAGGCGCAGATACACAGAAACCGCAGCCTGCCCATCCCTCCCACCCTCGTCCTGAACATCCCTAGCGCGGATTGGCGCGCCCACTGACCCAGCCTCCAAGTGCAGACGGCACCGGTGATACGTGCCACACCGCTCGACCGCTGCCACCCCTTTCGGCGCGGGCACGCCTGAGCCAGCCGTCAGCCGCTCGCGCCCAAAGACACAGCGTGCTGGAAACATCATCAGGGCCGGCGAAACCGCATCGGTGGGCCCGCGTTCGCACAAGTCCCCGGTCGTGCTGCGGGCCACGGCCAACGCCCCACCTGACATCTCCCCAGGCGATCTCGCTCACCGCCTTCAGAGGTCCGCCCTCCCCATGCGCAAGCGGTCCGCGGCGGCTGCGCCAGAGTCGTGTTGGTGGCCGTGGAAGCCGAGGGCGGGTGGTGCGGGGTCCGGCCGACGAACACGAATACCGGCCGGCCGATCGGTCGTTGAGGGGGACTGACGCGGACCTGGCTGGGGGGGGACGATTCCAAAAGGGTTGCCGAAAACGCCTGGAAGTACTGGAGGTGTTCCCGGTGACGTCGCAAATTCGTTTTGCTGAGTGGGCAATTGCCAAGTGTGGCCGTAAGCGGCCGGAAGTGCTGTGTTGGGGGGGAGGTCGAAGAGTCGTCGCTGCCGAAATGTTACTTGGCCGAACGTGGGAGCTGTCGCTGGGACATGGCCTCGCCGCCCGGGGCCTTTCCAACACGGCCAGTACATGTGCCAAGACCCCCCAGCCCGGACATTCCGGGTCGGAATGCGCACGCGTTGTACATCAACGCACGCGTTGTACATCCTCCCGCTCCCCGCCCGCCCTGCGACCCCGCCGCTGGCCTACAACATGCACGCGGCGGAGCCGCGCGAGGGACTCCCTTGAAGGCCCGCGGGTCGCCGGCCGGCCTCGACTCACGCACCGCGTTACGGAGGCATCAAAGGGAGCGAATGTATGACTGGGGGTATAATGGTACACCGGCCCGACGCGCCGAGCCCGACGTCATGACGCCCGCCCTATCCCCAATCTAATTTCTCCCGTGGTGAACAGGGCTCCCCGGGACTCCGTCGACAGTATAGGCCCCGCCCCAGGGGCCCCACCCAGCCTCGGTGCCCGCTCATGCGCTGCGGGCGGCGCTGACGCCTGCCCCATGGCGGACGCGGCGCGGCCGCAAGCACGGGGCGGGGAGGCCTTGGCGCGCCGGATGGTCCGGGCTGGGCCCCCGTTGGAGTACCTGGACGGCGCCGACGCCTACTGGGTGTGGGTCCAGCACCACCGGCCCCCGGTGGACGCCCTCTATGCGTTCCTCTTCCTAGTGGGGTACTACGCCATTTTTATACACAGGCCGCCGGACCTGGCCCTGTACGGCTGCCAGCCGCGGCGCCTGGCGCTGGGGGAGCCGGCATCCACGGCAGTCCCGGCGCCAAGGTTCTTGTGGTTCCTGCGTGCCCTGCTGGTGGCCCTGCACGGCGTGCCGCTGGGTGCGTACCTGGCCAAGCGCGTGCTGGAGAACCCCCGGTGGCACAGGGCGTACGTCAGACGGTTTCGTGAGAATGTCTTCGTGGCAATTCGCGTCCTGCCCATCATGACGGCCTTCCTCAGCGGCAACGTGGGCAAGTGCCAGGAGGGCAGCGAGGCCGGCTGCCCCTGCCCGCCGCCGCACCTGTCGTGGATGTGCACCTTCGTGCTGTACACCTGCTCCTACCAGGTGGGACCCCCCCCCCCCTTGGACTCTCGACCGGCCGCGACCGCCGGACCGCTGACTGAGCATGGCTTTTCCTGCTCAGGCGGTATCGCGGCACCACCCGTGTCGGAAACGGGGGCCGGGGGGGAAAGATGGGTGCATGGGATGGGTCCTGGCCCTCGGGGGTGGGGGAAGGGGGGGAGCAGGAGGAGCTGCCGTGGGGGAAGACCGTTGACGGCAGTACCTTTGCCCTGTCCCGTGACGAGGTCGTTGGCGATTCTTTGGAGCAAGGGCGCTGTTTCGCCCTCGGTGGCCCAACAGCGGCGAGAAGGAGTGGCGCCGGCGCCGGGCTGCGGTCTGGGCTACCTTCTGCCGCCCGCCTCCCCCTGCGGACCGCTTGCCTTGGTCGCCGCCCGCTGACGAATTTGTACTGACGCCCCCGCCGTGACGCCCCGGCCGTCGTCGCCGGAGGCGCGAAAGCGGCGTCGAAAGAGAAAGACGAAAAGGGGCGCTTTGGGCGGCCCCAAGCATGAGCTTCCTCGCGCCGTCGAACCCGCTGGGGAGGAGGAAAGCCTGGCGCTGCCGCTACCGCCAGCCGCTGCTCGAGCGCTCTTTCCTTGCTGCTCATAGGACAGTCGTCGGTGTGACGCGCAGGTGGCCAAGAGGTGGCAGGTGGGGCTGCAGTTCGTCAGCGCTGTGTGCCTGTCGATGATGCCCAGCTACCGGTGGGACATGGTGGAGAGGACGAAGCTGTTTGTGTGCGTGTGGGCCGTGCCCAGCATCTGCGCGTGCTTCCTGGAGAAGTGGGTGATCAAGGAGCACCAGGAGCGCGCCAGGCGGCGAAAGCTGGACCCGGCGTACCGCGACCAGCCGGGGGCCTCCGAATCGCCCAGGGCGCGCGCCAGGACGGTCAAGGCCGGTCCTTCGAAGGAGGGCGCCGACGATCCGCTCAAGGTGGACATATCCGGAGTGCTGGGGTCGGTGCTGCGGACCGAGCGCACCGGGACGTTCCTCAACTACACGCCCATGGTGACGGTGCAGACCAAGATGATAAAGGTAATGATGCCAGCAGCTCGTTGTGCATCTTTGCGCGCTGTTGCCGCTGGCCAAGTGCTCGTGTTCTGGCCTGCCATTCCCCTGCAGGGCCGAGCACAAATGGAATGAAGGCAAAGTGGCAAGGGGCCTGTTCTGTTGAGACAACCCGCCTGGGTTGTGTGGTGGCCATGGGGCAGATGTGCAGGAGTAGAATTCTGCTGTGCCTGTGTTTGGACGCTGTGCTTGTGGACTGGCTGCTGGTACTGATGCCAGTGCAGTGCAAATTTCAGAAACGGCAAGTACACATGAGTTGGTTTGGGGCTGGCCACCAGTGTGAACGTGGTGCAGAGTGGGTCCTGTTGGGAAGACCCTGAGTGCGCCCTGCTTCGGTGTGCAGGTCAGGAATGAAGGCGAGGTGACGGACGAGCAGATGGTGCGAATGGCCCGGACGTTCTCCAACAACCATGCAAGCAGGTTGCGAAGGGGCCGGTGCACAGTGGTGAAGGCAGTGGCGATGCGCGGCTGCCTCCTCTTTGTTGCAGAGGTCTTGGAGCCCCTGGATGGACAGTGTGCTGAGGTTTGCTGCCATGCAAATAAGCAAGACTCGAAGGACCTGCTGAAGTGCCTTCCTAAAGAGCTGCACCACGAGCCGATGGACGTTGTCATGGGTGACATGAGGGCCACTTATGCCGATGGCAAACTGGTGACTTTCGATGCACAGAACCGCACAGGCCAGGACCTGGAGGTGCCAGAGGTGCTGCTGCTGAAGCCACCGTGTGTGAGGGAAGGCACAGAGTCCGACAAGGGGCTGGAGGTGTTCATGTCAGAGGTGAAGGGCGACTGGGATTCCCTTAAGCTTGTTATGGTCTACAAGGACAGTGTGAAGAAACAGGTGGACGTACCCCGAGGCAACAAAACCAGGTTTGTGCACAACAGATCTTCATGCCAAAGGCGGTGTGGCAGTAGGCTGTCAGATGTGATTGGTTGGTTGGTTGGTTGGTTGGTTTCTTCCTTACACGGATGCATCGACATGACGTCACGGCAGCGATCAATGTAGCATATCATCCAGTGTGCCAGGGGCAAGTCCAGGCCCAACTATGTAACTGAAAAACACGCCTCTAATGGCGGCCACAGCTGCCACCGAACCCCTAAAACTCCCCCATGAAAACAATATTAAATGTCTGCAAGCCAAAATACAGAGTAATAGACTATTCCTCGTTCACCTCCTTTGCTCGAATGCAGTCACTGAGGTCAGAAAAGCTCCCAATCGGCTGCACTGTTTCCAAACCAGATTGCACAGATTCGATGCATCAATTCCTTCCGAAGTCAGCCACTTCTCACGCAAAACGATCTTCCCTTTGCAATCCACAAGAAAATGTTCACAGTTATAGTGTTCCTCACGTAACACCCAATCGACCAGCTCGTCATCATCTTGTGGTAGTTTGAAACTGCCAAGATGACAGTGACCGGTCATAAAACGCGCCACCCAAACATACTTGGAGCATTGGCGTTGATCAGTGTCATCAGGGCTCCAGGGCGCTCCAGAAACCGGTCGTGCAAAAGGCGTCCAGTGTCAGCGTTATTCCATCGACGCTGCCATTCATCGAGCAGAGCCTTGTCCACAATTTTCAGAACTTGCCGCTGCTCCACACGAAGAATGTCCACTGATGCTTGTGTTTGGTTGATGCCAAGTTCATTGAGTAGGAGGAAAGGCTGAAATCCTTGAAGCAAGGTATTGTGAAGATCTTTATATTATGTGAAATGAGAGTGAAGGTGAGCTCTCTGATACTGCAAACTGCCTGGAAAGTAGGAAGAGATCACAGTGATAAGAATGCAGCAGCATTTGCTCAAAAGAGCTGTGGCCTTGTCTCATGTTGTAAGCATTGAGAACAGGAAAATTGAGTGTGCTATGATAGTGACCATTGCTTGGTCCACCATGTGCTCGTCAGTGTCTGGACTTGTGGAAGCTGAGTGCTGATTAGTGTCCGGACCTGCATTTTTTCTGCCCTTGTTTTGTGCATTGGTTTAGAACTGCCAGCAATTGTGATAACGGGTATGCAAAGTGAACACTGACCCTTCTTGTTGACAGGGTGTCTGATTTTTGTGCCACCCATTGCTGCTTGTTGTTGCAGGCTTGAATTTGCAAGTGAAGAGGGGGTGGGCGCAGGCTATTTGCACACCATTGGTGTGGAAGGAGATCTTGGCACATTCATTGGTGGCCTGGCGCCATTCTTGATCCTTCCGGAGACTGCTGCGGCCGAGCTCAACTTGGCATTCCACAATACGGTTAAGTGCCTCTGGGACAGGACCTCTGCCTTCAAGTCTGTGGGGCACTCTCAGTTTTCAGCACCAGATTGCATCCCTGAGGAAGTTGAGAGCAAGGCATGGAGCCAGTTCTTCAAACCGTTTGCTCTCGACATGCATTTTCTGCTCACTCCCGATGCTGAAGAGCTGTTCGAGATCATGCAGAAGGAAGGCCCTGAGAGGGACAATTACCTGGAGGTCTTCCTGCACGTGGCTTCCTTCCTGGAGGGCTCCTCTGCAGTGGGAACTGAACAGTATCTGCTCAAGAGGTTCAAGGACGCTGGTGTGGAGCTCACAAACCAGGGAACCCAGGTATCAACGGGAAACATCTTTCCCAAGGTGCCGGAGTCATACTCGTTTACTCTTATCCGTGGCTTCATTGACCCCAATGTGGAGTCGAAGTACAGATACCAGTTCAGCAGACGACTGGTGCTCATGGACTTGGCAGGCATGGTGATGGGGCTCTGCCTCCTTCCTGTGGTGTCCATCATCGGCGAGGCTGGCAAGTGCTCTTACATGTGCCCCCTTGTCATGCACCTGCGACTGTCCCTCATATGCTGGGTAGTGTCCCAGAGCACATACATTACCAACAGGGAGCCCATTGTGACGCTGAGCTGGCTGGTGAGGACAGTGGCATGGCTTGGATGGGTGATCAAGGCAAAGGATGTAGTGGGAGCGCCGCTGCACCCATGGACCACTTTTGTCTTCCTTGTGTGGACAGTTCTTGTGAAGACAGTAGTTTTGAAGGTGGGTACTGCCTTTGTGTGCACAGGGCAACTGTGCCCTAAAGCATACGAGTGAACAAAGTCATTGCTTGAAAGCGAGTGGATTGGATGCGGGAAGCGTATACTGAAACTTTGCAGTTTCCAGTTGTTGCCCTCCTTATAGGATCTTTCTTGCTTCATTTTGGCAAAATTTGCCCAGTCTTGCACAGAACTTTCGACATTTACATTCCCAGCCTTTGGCTTGCTGTGTTCCTGTACACATATGTGTATTGTGTTTGGGTATAATCCCAGTGCAAAGAGTGTAGCTTGCCTGAAGGGTTGTGTGACATGTCATCCACTGCAGCAAACTCATACAGATTGGTGGCATCTGTGCAGTGCCACTCTGTGCTTGATTGTTTCAGGGTAGTTGGGGCAAAGGGCACAGAAGTTACATAGCAGCAGAATCTATAGCTACAGCTTGAATATGGGTACCGTGACCGACATATCGGGCATCAGTCTGCGCGGTTGCTGTTGTTCCATGGCAGTGCCCATCCGTGACACTCAAGTCATCGCTGCTGCCTACTGACAGTTGTGTTGGACCTGCTGTGCAATGCAGGTCCCATTTTCGATGCACTTGGCATTGAGCACCTTAGACACCGTTGTCAGCATCGCCGGTATCGTTCTGAGCACTTGGTGCAAGGGGTGGTTGATAATGGTGCAGGGTCCCATAGTGCTGATTACTGGGTACATCTTGTCCTTGATGGTATCCTACTACCAAGAAGTGTCTGACCGGAGAGCGTTCCGGTTGCAGAAAGGTTGATATGTGTTTTGGGGTCAACCTGTGGGCAATTTGTTGGGAAGCCACAAGGGGATTGTTGGCGTTCCTGTTTGTGGTGACAGGCACTACTTGCCATGGTTGCCGATAGGGGCCATGAAGCAGCGGCTGTGCATGTTGTACTGTATTGACAATAACTAGATTGCCGCAGTCCACCCCTGAACACCTGAGGGAAAGAATCTGGAGCCAGCATGCCAGCTCTGCAATTGGCCATATCGAATGCAAATTAGTTTTAGGGCTGTGTGGAGGGTTTTTGGGCAAGGAACCTCAGATAGGGTATAGCAAGCTGGGAGGCTTGGCATGCTGGGGACACACACTGGCTGACAAGTGCACAGCTCAAACGAAGACACAAATGAGTGTGTGTGTCACTGCCCTCCATTGGTTGTGTATTGCTGCCTGAATATCATCACTATGGTAGAAAGGGGTTGGGCAGTGCCCAAGGTGTGGGCCATGTCCAGCAGTTTGTGCCTCAATCCATGAAAACTGAGGGCGCCACTCAGAGGCGGATTGAGCATACGCTTTTATTGGCTGTGTCCCTGTATTCTGTACTACAGTCGCTCAGAGCTGCATGCAGTCCTGTGAAGTGCTGTGCGTAAACTGGTGAAAGGGGACTAGGAGAGGACTGGTGGCGCTTGACTCGCTGGCGGCCAACGACTATTGGGAACGGACAAGTTGTGAACACAATTCATGAGCGCCGGCAGGCCCTTGGCTGAGAATGCAACCACGGTCTTGGAGCGCGGCCGCCCTTTCTTTTCAGCGAGTCCACACCCATGTCTCGTCTGAAGCAGGTTGATCGATTGGGCTGGGTGCACCCCCCGCTGCGGGCAATTTGGCCCAATGGGGATGGCGCAGCCTGGAAACAAGACCGTGGTCAGTGTGCGCACGCGAGAGCTGAATAACGTAAGGGCTGGAGTGATGTGTGGCTGCACTGTGCGCCTTTGGTCCTGCGATCAATGACGGCCAATGCTCAACCAGTGGCTTGGTGACTTGATCTGATGGTATGACTGTTGGCACTGGCTTGCAGCCGCAGTGCTTGAGAACCGACGGAAATTGGGCCAGCAGGAGAGTATTTGCCAATTAGGGGCCGTACGTGTGGCCGTGGTCTGTGCAATTGGCATTAGCGTATGGTGGCAGGACTGTTGCCAAGCGGAAATCCACGCAGTGGAGAGGTGCAGGCTTTGTGCGCCTAAACAGCGCCCCTTGCACCCGCAGCACTGGGAGTCATTGGTGCCGTAGTGCAGGCGGAGTGGTGTCCCGTGGTTTCGTGCGGCATGGCTCCCTCTGATGCTTATTTGCCTCGAATATTGGCAGGCGCCTGGACTTCGGACGAACCTGTGCCAGGCTGTTGTTGCCATTGTGTGCACCTCAACATCAGTTGCTTTCATCAATGGTGCCCCTATGTCATTCTTTTGTGGAGACTGTGGGGCTCGCCATCTGCGCCCTGTGCAGACAAATGCGGCTGGCTTGACCTTGGCTGCCAATCGCTTGGCAGTCGCCTTACAAGTCCCAACAGAAGCGGCGAATTGTGTGTTGTTCTGAATCCTCGTGTTGTAGAGCGTGACGCCCTCATGCGGCCATTCGTGTTCTGGTGCAGCTAAGCCTCAACACGCCACATGCAACTTTTGCTTGTAACCCTCGCCCAACTGTTCACAAGCAGACCTCGAAATGCGCCCTTATTCTGGTGGCCTCTGCCTCGGTGTTTGCTGTCCGCACCGCTGTTCACGATTTTAGAAAATTCATTTCTGCCTTGCTGCTCTCCTGAGCCCACCCGGTCATATAACTAGATGGTATGATACCTGGGTGCCCTGGTTTGTGTGCTCCACACCAGCGTCCTTGAACCTCTTGAGCAGATACTTTCAGTTCCCACTGCAGAGGAGCCCTCCAGGAAGGAAGGCCATGCCACTGTCCTCACCAGCCAGCTCAGCGTCACAACGGGCTCCCTGTTGGTGATGTGTGTGCTCTGGGACACTACCCAGCATATGAGGGACAGGCGCAGGTGCATGACAAGGGGGCTCATGTACGAGTATTCTGCTACTGACCCAATGACAAACACTTACAAATTCACCACATCCTCAATGTATCGGACCCGAGGTTCCCATCCTTTAAGTTTGCCATTCACTTTTAGTGGTAACTCAAGGCCCCTCCGGGGCAGAAGATGTGCCCGAATTGCTCATGCAGGTCGCAGGCGGTGACGGTCATCCAACCAAAGAGCCAAAAATCCACTCCACGGACAAACGAAAAATATTAATGTATGACCACATTGCGTCTGACTTCCACCCACCCCAATCTCTGATACACTGCACAACTACCTTCAAATCAAAGCAACTGGGAAGCTCATCCGCCACACAGACCGTGGTGCATAAAAAACTCCTGGGCGATGCTCGGTTCCTGCTCCAACAAGGACGAGAACCAGTTCGGCAACGTCTTGGACGTGGGGGTGGCGTTGTCCGGCAATTAGTAGAAATGGCAGGGCGGTTGGTCCATCTGCTCCGGCCTGTGTGGGGGTGCGTAGGCACACAGGGGCATTAGGATGCATCGGCTCAGCGTTCCAAGCGTTTCCACCCGAACACGTCGGCAAGTAAGGGCAATGCGAATTACCCGATGTGCACCAACGGCCTGTACGGCATCCCCACGCCCGTAAACGCGTCGGCCGTGGGGTCACGTTGCCCAACGTGGGCCTGCCCACAGTTCTATAACTGTAGTGTTTTGGAATCATCGGCATTTGATGCCCCGTCGGACTAGGGACCCTTTCAGGCTGTTTCGCCTGCAACGAGACTTTCTCCTCTGCCTCGCGTGCCCGCATCTTCTGCTTCAGGAGGCGGTCGCTCAATGCGGCCACTTGCTACTCGGCGGATGCCTTGGCTTCATCGGCCTAGTGGCTCTGTTTCTTGGCCTTGCTCAACGTGACCTCGTGCCGCCTGGCCTCCTTTTGTGCCGCAGCCGCCGCAATTTCCAATGAGGCGATTCTTTTGGCGGCTTCTCTGTCCCGCGTCTCCTGGGCCCGCGTAGCCGCAGCCGCCGCCATTTTCTCCAGGAGCTCTATTATTCCGGGCGCCTGCAACAGGGCGGCCATCGTGCCCGGATCCGCCGCTTCCTCTCCTGGAGCCTCCTCTGCCTCGGCCATCGGTTGGTCATGCTCCTCCGGCTCAGCTCGACCCGACGATGTGCCGGCAGTGTCCTTTCGGACTTCCTCCATCTCCTGGCCCTGTCGGACTGTGACATCCTCACCGGCCGAACTTGCCGGTGTCCCCTGTCGGGGTGTTTCTTCACCTGAGGATTCGGGTGTACCCTGTCGGGTTGTGGGGTCCGTTTCCTCAGCCTCCATTGAGGAGGCCGGGGAAGAGGCCCAGTTCCTTGTGCTTCCTCTCGCGCCCAGTTGAAGGCATGGTAGCCACCCACAGGTGGCTCCGAAACCAAATGATACGAAAAGGTTGTGGGTGTGGGGCTCCTGCCCTCTTTGAGCCGCGGACCCACCTCGCCGGGCACCTAGAGCCATTAGTAAGGCGTCCCCTACATCAGGCCGGTGCGCGTAACACATGCCCTCCCTACCGCCCTGCGCTTCGCCACCCGCGGCCGCTTACCTTCGTGTTGCCATACTCCTCGTTGGGTGCGAGCTCCTCGCTACGTGTCGTTGCTTGTGCTTGCTGCCGGTCGTTGTGCGCTGTGCGTGCTGGGTGGCTGGGTGGGCCGCTCTCAGCCATATGTGGGTGGCAAAAAGACATTTGTCCGAACGTTGCCCCGATTAGGGGGGGGGGGGGTTACGCGCACCGGCCTGATATGGGAGACGCCCTACTAATGGTCCTTGGTGTGGGGGACGCCCTGCCCAAGATCGTATTGTATTCCTTGTCCCACGGTAACCATTATACTTATATGGATATGGGAGTAGGAGGGGTGGTCCCGCCTAGGTGCCCTGTAAATACCTAGGTGCCCGGCGAGGTGGGTCCGCGGCTCAAAGAGGGCAGGAACCCCACACCCACAGACTTTTCGTATCATTTGGTTTCGGAGCCACCTGAGGGTGGTGACCACGCTTCCGCCTAGGCGGATGCGCAAGCTCGGAGCGACGGGTTCCCTCCCCGGTCTCCTCAATGGAGGCCGAGGAATCGGACACGTCTGCCCGTAAGGGTACCCCCGATGCGTCGGGAGAGATGGGAACACCCAGGGAGGGGACACCGACCTCGGTTGGTGATATTAAAGCCCGGGATGGGCAAGGAGGAGAACAAGTCCGGGAGGACAAGGCTGGACCCTCCACAGCCACTTCGGCACCCGTAAGGGAAGATGAACCGATGAGCGAAGCGGGTGCCCCACCGACGGCGGAGAAGAAACAAGAGCAAGATCAGGGGACCATGGCGGCGTTGCTGCAGACCCCTGGTATTATGGATCTCTTGGAGCAAGTGGCGGATGCTGCGGCCAAGAAGGCGAGGGAGAAGTGGGATGAAGATACTGCTGAGAGAATCGCCTCACTGGAGATCGCCGTCAACAAGGCCAAGAAAGAAGCTCGAGAAAACGAGGTGGCCATGAAGAAGGCGAAGCAGCAGAGCCGCAAGGCAGAAGAGGCCAAAGCCTCCGCCGAAGACCAAGTCAAGGCGTTGAGCAACCGTCTCCTGAAGCAGAAGCAGCGGGCACAGGAGGCAGAGGAGAAAAGCGCCCAACAAGTGGTGCAGGCCGTGAGGGCCCCCAGTCCATCGGAGCTGCCCATGCCAACCATTCCAGAAGCCAAGGGCGACTGGAAGGTTGCCAGCAAGCAGCGGCCTAAGCGGAAGAGCCCATCGCCAGGTGAGCGACCGATGGGAAGTCGGACATCTCCATACAAAGGCCGGGAGGCCAAAGCCTCAGGGCGAATTGAGAAAGTAAAAGGCCGGAAGGTCAAGATCCCGGAGCTGCGGCTCAAATCCCAGGTGCATGTTAGAACACCTAGTGGATCGGACGGGACGGGAGATGAGTCGCTCACAGAAAGCGCTCAAGCAGTATGCGGAAAAAGTCCGCCA